AGACCTATATAAGACAGTAACAAATTTCCTTCTGAAAACTCTTGACTCAGAGTAGAACAGTTACCAGTAAACTTTCAGGAAAAAGGGAATTCATATGGAGAATTCATATGGGAATTCATACGGAGAATACAGTTTAACGTAATATTCCCAGATAGGAAGAACTAGCTCAGAAACGCTAAATTTGTATTTTAAAGAAATCTTTTTCAATATAGAAAATACGAGTTCTAGTGTCCAAAAAGAAAAGCTGCAATTCTGGATTTCTTAGCCTATGAACAGACACTAAGATATACTAAAAATGAATGAAATTATATTCTCATCCTACATATGAGTACATGAATCCAAGAAAAAAAAAGAAAAAAGTTGTATGTTACCAGGCAAACTTATTTAACTACCTAGTAGATCTAAAAAACCTACTTTTAGAAAAACATAAGAAAATACCAAAATAAACCTCAGACTTTGGAGACTTGATTCTGCTTGCTTCACTGTTAAGAAGGTGATGTTCACTGGCAGAGAAAACTATGGAAGAGTTTGTTCTTTTCTCCTTTAACTTGAATGACACTACTAAATACGGTTTACAACCTCTCATGAAAGAAATTCTAACTTCCTTCTGCTTTTTAGAGGCAATCTAAATATGTAACTGTTTCACAAACTTTACTTCCTAGACCACTTTATGAATAATAGAGGGGAAGAGGAGGCACAATGTCTACAGTGGAAAGAGTCCATTGATTTCAGGTGCTTAGCTGAGTTTTCAGAATACTCTGCTTTATGCACAGCTCATGCAGTGATGAAATTCATTGCATGCTTCAGAGGTCAGACATTCCAGAGGTCTCCATGTAATGATGAACTGATAATTAACAAGTAAGACTGTAACGTATGCTTTGAGTTGCTCAGTATCACATGAATACCACAGATGGGAGGCAGGAATAGAATCCGGAGCGCTCACGCTGTCGTAACCAGGAAATCCTTCTCCTCCCTACCATTCCATTTGCCATGCTCTTCCTATTCTGCAAAACTGAGACAAGCCTAGAACAGAGGTCCTGTTTGAAAAGTTAAAGCACTTTTACTGTTCAGATGTGACTTGTCAGCACAGCAGAGATGAACAAAATACAAAAGTCCAGTGAAAAAGGCAGCATGTTATCATCTAATGAAAGATCGTAGGCTGCTCGTAGCTTGCTGTTGGCTTGCTTCTTGGCTCCTGATAGCTCTACTTATCCTTCTCCAAGACAAGGCATACAAGCGACTCTAGGAGCAGCTGAATGCAGTGAATTGCTCTCAAAATACTATTACGAGACTGCACAAAATTGGACACTTCTGCAACATCAAACACTCCAAAACTATTTAAACTTTGCACTGCTGCTCTTGTTTTTGTGCTCTACTCGATGACGTTCAGCATATACCCTCAAGATCACAATACAGAAATATCAACTTGGTGGGCTGTAATGAAGTTCTTACTTTTTATTTTTTAGATTCTTTGAATTAAAAAACATACATTAACTATGTTCTAAGCATCACAGATTTAGTCAAATAGTATGTAACACAGACACAGTCCGATTTAGAGATCACTAGACTGGAGAAGTGAGAAGTGGACATGAACTAGGCTGTGACATGGCCTCAGAGAATGGTCCCTGCTCAACTGGTCCCTGTTTCATGAACAGCCACAACCTCAGAAAATGTAACTCTGTCATTTCCTGGCTTCTAAATACTTGCTAATTTTATGTTCTTTTAAGACATCTTTTGAAATGTTACATATACTTACAATTGTGACATAATGTTAAAATACAGGCATGTTCAGAGACGAACAAAAAAAATGCGTTGACTAGAATTTATATTTGCCTACAACTTCAATACAAAGCCTATACTTTGTTATAAAAGTGCATCTGGCTCTACATAATCTAGAGCGGTTTTGATCAAGATATGATCAAGATATGTCAGAAACCGGAGCCGATGGGGGCAAGTTATTAATGAGTGAATTCCTGAGACACACAGGAGGTACAGGAATGGGTGTGATGTTCCCGCCACAAGCATTGGACATGATGGGGTTAATGTCAAAAGAGTCTTTTTCAAAAACAACAACTCTATCGACCTCTGACCCCAAAGCCTGTGGTTTCAATCCCAAGAAATGGGCAGAAGAAATGGCAAAAGCCAAAGTATCGGGTCAGATCCTAAGATTAAACCTTGATCAGTGTATGCACTACAGGTGAGCTACATCAACTATGATAACAGGTCGGAAGATGCTGATGCCCTAACTTATTTGCAGTTGTCCTGGGTTCAGCTACAGCAGTCATTTTTTCTCCTTCTTAGTAGCTGGTGCAGTGCTGTGGTTTTGACTTTCAGTCTGGGAACAACGCTGATAACACCGATGTTTTTAGTTGTTGCTCAGTAATGTTTACTCTGACCAAGAACTTTCTGAGCCTCATGCTCTGCCAGGGAGGAGGGGAAGCCGGGAGGAAGCAGAGGCAGGACACCTGACCCAAACTGGCCAAAGGGCTATTCCATACCACAGCACGTCATGCCCAGTATAGAAACTGGGGGGAGTTACCCGGAAGGCCCAGATCGCTGCTCGGGTCGGGCTGGGTATCGGTTGGCGGGTGGTGAGCGGTTGTGTCCTTTTCCCTTGTTATTCCTCTTATCATTATTATTGGTAGCAGTAGTGGTTTGTATTATACCTTAGTTACTGGAGAGCTGTTATCTCAACTCGTGGGAGTTACATTCCTCCGATTCTCCTCCCCATGCCTCCGGGAGTGGGGGGTGGAGGGAAAAGGCGGGGGGAGAGAGCGAGTGGCTCCGTGGTTCCAAGTTGCCGGCTGGGCTTGAACCACGACAGCAGTTTGTCCCAAAGTCACTATATATTTTAACTTCATAAATAAAAAAATAATTTCCATACTAATATTCCTTGCTTATTGTCCTTTTTTTACTTTTGGTCAGAAATTATTTAACTGTTTAGTATTTTGTTCTCCTCTGATGTAGAGCAAAATGTCTCTCCTAAAGACAAAAAAAACAGAACTTCAATAACAGACTTCATAATGAATCCTATAGAAATAAACAAAGCTACAAAGTGGTTTCATTTCTAAGTTTTCTCAACACTTCATATTTATATAAGCCAAATTTTCCAGTTATGGTCTCTGTCTCTACCACCTTTGTCTCTCTTCTTTTTCCCTGACTCAGTTCCTTTTTAGAATTTTGTCTTCTTTTGGCACATGGAGAAAGGTGTTTCATAAACTGCAGGGAATAGCAGGTACTCATATGGAGAAAGCAGATACAGTTTTTAATAAGAATTATAGCTACAATGAAATATTTATTCCCTGAGCACAGAGCTCAGAGAAAATAAGTGACCACAGAATATCCTCATACTAAGCTAACAGGAAGGAAAGACAAGTGCCTTACGGTTTATCCACTATAAACTACAGAAAATCATAAAGCCCCAAAATTTTGAAACTAATAAACATATACAGTTTTCAGGGATGCACATATTTTCCATTAAAAGTTAATTAAGTCAAAATGTTTTAATCTAGAGAAGTGCCTATTCCTTCAGAGCAAGTTATTTTTTCCCACTGTATATTGTCAAATCTGTGAAATGACAATGATCTGCATGACAGAAGACCCATGGCTAAAATTTTGTCTCTACCTGAATCAGTGGGAGTTCTCCCATTGACTTCAGAAAGATCATTAACTCACTGCTATCATAAAAGGATGATCTGGCAGTACTTGTAAGGTTCTATTACTTGGAACTGTCTTTTGCTTTGAGCTAGGCACTTCCCACCTTTATACTATTTCTTTAAAACGTTCCTTTGCCTACCAGACTCACCATTACTAGATCAGTAGTTAAAAAAGCAATCTGTCACCCAGGGTCCACCAATGAGCAATAAAAGATATTGGAGAAAGTTAGTACCTTCCTCTAGTTTGCTTTGAGAATTTATCTAGCAGTACAGAAAATTAGTGATACCCTCAGTGTATTACATATGGCAAAGCAAAGAGCTGTATTTAAAACAGCAAACAACTAGTAACAGTCACAGCAGGTTCTAACAGAAAAATGAGTCACAACGGTTCCAAACACAAATACCTCCAGTAGCCAGAAAAAAAAAAAAAAAAAAGACAAACATATACCCCAATGGTTCTTTAAAAAACCACGGTGTCTTCCTCTTGCTGCGGGCAGTTAACAGCACCACAGAACACTGAAATTCTGAGGTGGACTTAAAGCACTCTCCCACATCTTCTGAAACAGAGTGATGCTGGAGAGATGATGCATTCAGTCTCGAGAGAAAAGAAAGATACTGTTCACACAGCACTTCTAGTCATCAGTCCATGGAGCAGCAATGGTGTTGGCTTTGAAGGAAGCCAACTGTCCCGCTCTCCCAGAGATAAAGAATTGCATTGGTGGCCACTAGAGGGAGGATTAGGAACATAGTAATTTGTGGGTAAAAGGCACCCATGATGAATCACATGGGACAACCTACAAATCCCCCACCTCTGCCAAAGGGCAACAATTCTTAAGATACTGCTATGTGCTGGGAAGTATTACGCAGTTGTTATCACCTGCTACAGAGAACCTGCCAGTATGCATCCTGAACTTTGGTGGCTGGAGGATAGGAGGGCTGACTAGGATCATGTGAAGCATACCTACAAACACACAGACACATCCCTTTATCTACAGTTGCCTCATTTGCCTTCTGGTTTTTAATCTCCTTATTTAAAACTTCTGATGTCCTTTATCAAGAAAGCTCCAGCAAAAAGCAAACATACCAGCTTCAAGAGAATCTCAGAAGCAGCATCAGCAGAAAAACACACTGCCAAGATACACGGTATTTAACAAAAACATCTGATCATATTAAAGGTACTTGAAAGCAACAAACTCCATTGTAATAAAATGAATGTTCTTACACTAAATTAAGGTTTGAGGCATGTCTGAAAGAAATGTTTTCAATTAGTTACCTAGATAATTATGCAGTAAACTGTATCTTGCAATTCACTTTACCCTGTATCTCGACTGCCTGGTGTCTTACCTCCAGCACAAGTGGCAGAACATTCTGACCAAGGCAGATGATTCCATGCAAAGCCAACTTCATTGTCTCCACTGCCAGTGCGAGAGATGGGAACATTGAATTTATACCTTATACCCAAATTTTGTTCCTGAAGCAGAATCTGTAGTTGAAAACAACTGGTTATACCATTAAAACAGGCAAGCAGAGGGCAACTACAGTGACATTTAATCTAGGTTTGTGTTATGCTCTAAGGAAGGGAAAAAGTAATAAAGGAAGCCATAGTAGTTCTTTAAGGTATTCCCAAAAGAAGCTGGACTAACTTAAAACATATACAAAAGTATTATTGTCTAAGGTGAGTTTTGTCTTTTTTTTCTCCTTAACAACTTAATAACTTCTGTCAGTTCTTTATTCTTAACACAACTGTTAAGAAGAAAACAGTTTTCATTAGATTAATGTCCTAATGGAAATTGACAGCTGAGTAATTACGTGAGGTCAAAGTTGGTTAAGGACATTACTGTGCAAACATACAGCAGTCCTCACTGAAATACTGTGACGAGCTACTCACACAGCAGTTATGAACCTAGCTCTGCCCTTCTTTGCACTTCCAGTGACTACAGTAATAGTAAAAATAGTAACAGGAACAGGCTGTTGCCACGGTCATTGTTTTCCCCTAATGCAACAGCCAACAGCATTATTAGCCTGGTGGAATCACACCTCTGACTCCTTTAAAGGAGTATCAAAACTCTCACTGCAGCCGTATCACTGCAGGTGATAGAGAAGGAAGTGCAACAGTCGCTATGAGTTTTTGGCTACCCTCATTGTTGACTACCCTCCACACACCATTTGTCCAACACTAGCCTTTGACTTTATCAAACTTTTTCTTTCTGTTGCTAGCAATACGTATCATGTTAGATACAGCACTCTGATACTTCTTATCCCCTACTATCTCATTCCCTTCTATCTTACGTGATATTTTACAGTCATATCTGCCTATCTTCTTTGGACAAAAGACCAGAGAACGTTCAGTAAGAAGGTCAGTGGCACTGACTGAATGAGAAAGGCACTATAATCATTGTGTAACTCATTCTATATAGTCTCTCTAGCTGATCCACACCCACAGAAGAAGAAACAGGACTCATGTATTTGAAAATGCTGCCTAAAATGTGAATATCCAGGCAACAATCATTCTATACAAGAAAATAACCCATATGGCTCAAGCAATCCCTGAACTGCAAGTCTGACAGCTGACAGAATATACTTGGCAAGAGTCGCCTTGCTCTTACACTTCTTGTCAATGTAGTAATGCAACAGTAGGCTCACTATTGCCTTCTGTCAGAGACAGGGTATCAGGATGCTGGTCACATCTTCTGTTACCTTCTTGAATTTTGTACCATCTGTTCAGAACACTGCATGTCACAGCAACATAAACATAGGACAAATCATGATACTCTTGTTGTGGTCAGAGTATACTTCACACTCAGGCCAGGCTTAAAACAACTGACATCCACAGAACTGTCTCTCAACATTTCCATGTATCAGCAGAATGCAAAGGTACAATATATACCCCATATAGAATTTCCAGCTACTGTTGTTCTGAACCACATTGAAAAGAGATGAAGCATTTTCTGTGAGATTTCCTGGAGCACAACCTGTTTTGATTTCATTCATGGCCTTGTCTTTTCTCAGAACGCAAATACATTTTCAAATTTCAGAAATATATTATAACTTTACCATGACTATGAGATTTTCTGAAGTAGGGCCTAGTGCTTCCAAAGACTCTGGTTCATCTGTTGGCCTCTTGTAATGGAAAGCTGTTCCAGCAACATCAAACTTTCTTGGCCAGTCAATAGTCCAGGCACCATTAATATAGTAGTCATCCTCTTCAGATTTTAAAGCTTAAAAAAAAATACAAGCCACCTAAAAATTGGAAGCAGCATTTATAATGGAGAAGCCATTTCAAATTTATCTACTAATCTGCTAAATCTGCTAGAAGCATGTGAGTTTCAGCTCAATGTAACTGTTTTTTTAAGCAACCTAAAGCCATTTCTTTAGCCCTGTCTAAACAACATTGCCTCTGCAGTAATGTTCAGTGTGCAGGTATCCTTTGCAGATTTCAACATGCACATGCTATATGGAACAAAACAGAACTGCTATTGCAACTCGCAATGTATCTTCAACTCTAAAACTGAGCCTGTGTGCAATGTATGCAGTTTTATGTAAGATATATGTAGGTCTCAAATGTATAATCAATTACCAATCTAATCTTCAGATTAAGCAGTTGGGGCATGGAATAGGTATTTCAAGTAGTCTGCAGAGGAAAAAAAGAGAAATAGCATTGAGTCTGATGTATGGTGCCAATCAGCTCTTGTTTTGTTGCCTCTGTCCACTGTGCGGTTTTTTGCTCAATATCCAAACCTAAGATTCTTCTACTACAAACCCAACTACTAGCTACTTAATGAGATAAAATATTTTATTATTCCTATTTTAAAACCTTAAACCATAAAAGCAACACAAATAAAACATAAATTTCTTAGACCAATTAGGCTGGACAAACATATTATTCAGGGATTTGTATTTTATGTTTTATTATTAAAATTAGATTAAGTTTCTAAATATGACACTGACTTTTTATCTTAAGGTGAATATTCTCTTAATTAGATACTGACTTCTTAAGGTCATTATCAAGGTATTCAGCCCTCATATTTACTTTAAATAAAATATGTTTTTAAAGGCAAAATGATGGTTGGAAATATATGCTCAACAAGCCATGTCATTTTTTGTTGAGACTTGTAAGTGACTTCACTAGGTAGGGAACAAAATCACATCACAATATAAGGAATAGGACAGCTTATGATCAAGTTTTACTGTACGACAGCTTACGATTAAGTTTTACAGACGGTTTACCTAAAACTTTTAGCAAAAATGTCTCAATGATGCTTTGAGTGAAGAAACTAGCTCTGACACATTCATTTATGTAGAATTTTCAAAGTAATTCAGACGCTTTTTTGCCTATATAGGCTTTGTAGCACAAGAAAGAGCTGGTTAAAAAAAGCAAGTGTAAGAGAAGAATTAATCAAAATGCAAGCAGTACTGAACTTAGAGAAAGGAACAGTATTCACTATCTATTTCACGCGCTGTATAACTATGTTACAGCTTGTTTTATCTCTGGTCCTATTTTCACATTGCCAAAATTTCTATCTATCCCGCTTTTACAAAATCTAGCTTAATCAAAAGAAGAATCAATTTTATGTATGCTGTATGCACTTAATGTATATCCAGAAGCAAAGCAGCTCAATTTTTACCTGCCAATGAAAAATGCATTTGCATTCTGTAAATAGATTTACCCAATGCCAGTTGTTACACATAGTAAAGGCCACACAGTTGTGATTAGCGTTCCCGTAATATAATTACGTGACAATGATGACATGGTGGCATAATGCTATTAGCATATGAGACAGAAGGAACAAGTTAGTATTCCAATTAAATCATTTATGAGAACTTGAGAATGCAGAAAGCCCACAGAAAATCAGCACACAATTCCTCCCTGTTGCACATGAAGAATACAAAGGAAGATATCACCCTGGATCAAGCCATTTAAGGGAAGATAACACCATTACTAAAACAGTATTTTTCCACCAGCTCTGAAGTCAGGCCGTTTTGTTGTTGCTGGGTTATTTGTTGGACAGATCAGTTTAAAATACTGAATTATTTATGCAGCTGCAGAAACATGTTTTTGCTGTTACAACATTAGGAGCAATATTGGTGCAGAAATGATCAGCAGGGGAGGAAGAGAATTGATCAGACGGGTCAGGGAGGACAGGTGCTGACTGAGCTAACTGAGCTCCCAGATGTCTAACTGTAGCCTAAATTTGAGGCCGTGGCTTGTAAAAGAACTGGATCTTAAGTTAAGGAACCATGGGATGCTTGTTAGTTTGAAAGCCTGCTAATTGAAATGAACAAAGAAGAAACTTTGAAGCCAGCATGACAGCTATGGAGAGTAAGGGTTTTATTTTTTCCTTTTTTTGTATACTTCCCAATGGATAAATTGATTTCTTAGACTGTGGTCTCGTATTTGGCAGCAGTGAATATAAGAGAAAATACAGTAATATGCATAAATGGTTATATTCATCTGAGTCAGTTCTTAATTGGGTTCATGGTATGGTCACACAAACAGCTGCCCTGCAACAACAGAGGGAACTCCATAAAGACAGGGAAGTAGCTGTGAAGTTGCCACTGTCACTAAAGAAATATTCATAAAACAATACCCTTGAGGTACATATTTTAACAGAATAAACCCATTTTTAACTACTTTTGTGCTCTTAAAGTTTTTTTAAGGGAGCAGATGAATTTAAAACCTTCCTATCCCCAGAAACTGGTCATCCTAAAATAGTGATCTGGTTCACACTCACAGAACAAAACATCCCATCACAAAATCAAATGGCCCCTGAGACCTTGATTATATTTAATTAGTGTACAATGGCACCTTCGAAAGTTGGAAACATGAGAAACTAGTGTAAGAGAGAAATCCTCTGTTTCTGTAGTCAGGGCTCAGGAAAGCCTTTGAAATTGTGACAATAACATAAAAAAAGTATTTATGTAATACTTTATATTTTTAGATCTATGGCCAGCTTAAATACCAATTAAGTTGTCTGTATTTTTTATTTAAGAAAAAAACCTGACATTTTTCTTTCATTTTATACAGATAGTGCCAGCAACTGGAATTGTTTTTCCAGATCACCTTCCTCTGATTACAAAACAGAAGAATTACAAGCTTAATTGTACTAGCTAAGGAGTTATCCTCTTCATTCTGTTTTTCACCTCCCCATGGAATAGTTCGTAGCAGTAAATGACCATGACAGGATGCGTTGTATACCTCTCTCCCACCACTTCTCTTTGAAATGTCAGTACAGGACATAGGAACAACCTTACCCCCAGTATATTATGACATGGGGGAAGGGCCATGAGGAGTGTGATGCTGAAAATAGTAATAAGCACTCTACTGCTGGAGTAGTGGTGTTATTACTCCTGCAGAATGGAGGGAGATCAATTATCTGCTGAATTGCAGAAGGATGGGGGCAGGCAGGCAGAAAATTAGGCATCCAACAGTAAAAGGTACCATTATTATCAGTACAATCAATTTAGGAATTCATTTACCTAGGAGGGTAACTGCCCTTCTAACTCAAACTTAAAGGCACCATAATCCATTCCAACATGTGTTTTACATACAAAAGTAGCCTCTGCTGTATTACCTGTAAATTGCTGTTTAGCCTAAACAGATAATAACTTTAGGTTGTGCTAATCTGTTAATCTGCTGTACAATTTATCAGCTCTCTGATCTATTCTTGACTAAGAAAGAGGTGTTCTTGCACTACTGTGAATGGACTGCTATGCAAATCAGGGTACAGAGACTTTCAGAAATGTTTGGTGTCTTGAGTCTGACAAAGCCAGATTTGTACATATCAGTATCAAAAAAACAGAAAACAAATTTAACAGCCTTTAAAGAAACAAATAACAATCATGGAATATGAATTTAATTCTGTGCTTTACAACAGGCTTCCTGAATTATCTCTATCAAACACCTGGTTTTTCTGCACCTCATTTTCCTTATCTATAAAACAGGGATGGCATCAAAACCATACAGCACCTCATAAACACTGTACGATTAATACCTTGAATTGCCTTAAGATAAGAAGACAGCATTGTTAGCATTTAACTAACTATGGTTGTTGATGAATAATCATTGTGAGACTAAAATCTTGTTTTAAATCAGTTTAATCCTCCAAGATCAAAAACTTCCCTGATGGAAGACAGTACCTCAGATTGGGCCAGTACATCATTTGAATACTCCTCATCCACTTCAAGTGAAGTCTGACAGTCTAACTATAGTGAATTGACCTGATTTTGCACTGAGTAGACAAGGACGAATCACATGATGTATCTCATTAACTCCATTCAAGAAAATACATCCTAACCAACTGCTGCAACTGTCTCATCACAACCTAGTATTAACTGCTAATAATTCCCTCTGCTGCTTCTACTATGGCTATGGTTTGGCCAAACCAGAAAATGTACCTTCAAATCACAACATAAACCGACCTAATAACAGCCTGCTATTTAAACCATGGTCTTACCAATGTAGTTCTTTGACATTGCCACTTCTCTTACTTCAATGTGCACAGAACCTCTTGGAATTTGAATCACTTCCATATAGCCTGTAAGACAAAGGTAAACGTTATTTACTGTTGCCTACGTTGATCAATATTAGTCATGAAACTAACCATTACTGAATTATTTACTACTAAAAATTAGTATGAGATACAGGATTCAAATGGACTTGAAAATTTTCTTTCATGCAATATAAAGAAAACTCTTCAAATATCATACAAACATTTGAAAGTGATAGCAAGAACTTACCATGTAAGTCAGGAACTCCTTTTTTAAAGTGCTTATAATAAAGTATTTTCAACTTATGTTCATTTATGAATAGTTAACATATAAAATGACTTTAGGATCACATGATAATTCAGGTTGGAGAGGACCTCAGACAGTGATTTAGCCCAACTTTCTGCCATAAGCAGGGTATGCTAAGAGATCAGACCAAGTGACTTGGTGCTTTATCCTCCTGGGTTGTGGAAAATCTCCAATGATGGAACTGTACAACCTTTCTGGACAACCTTATCTGCTGCTGGACTGTCTTCCTGGGGAAAAATTTTTTTCTTACTTTCAGACATCATCTGTCTTGTTTCAATTTATAACCATTGTCTCTTCTCCCAGCATGTACCCACCACTGTGAAAAGCCTGGCTCTGTCTTCGTCATAACCTCTTCTTAGGTATTGGAAGGGTGATACTAGGTCCCCACAAACCTCCTCTTCTCCAGGCTAAATAAGCTCAGTTGTGACAGTGTCTCCTCAAAGAGAGGCAAGCACTTCAGACGTCAATAATCTTAGCGGTCCCTCACTGAACTGAACTGACTCCAGGGCACCAATCCTTTTCCTGCATTTGGGAGCTCGAAACTGGTAACACTAAGATCGCAACACTATAACTGTCTTTTTTGAATTAAGCTTTAAACTAATTGCCCGTATACATTTTCTAAGTTCTAAATAAGATGAACTTAAAAGAGACATTTCTGGATTCTTTCCATTCTAAAATTTCATGTATGACAAAATAGCAGATTCTATCATACACATTAAAATCATACTCAACCTTACTCTTACTATACCACCATAACTAGATAATAATTTTAAAACACCCACTTTTTTTTAAGTGCATTAAAGACCATGAGAACTAAGTATTCAGTAAAGAAACATATTGTTGTATTTGACATAAATCTAAACTAACACAGAAAAAGGCAACAACAAAGCAAAAGGAGTCAAAGTGAATGACTAGCAGCAAGGCCATGCTGGAAATGAAGGCAGCACTGTTATTTGCTAAAGAGACATGCAAATGCATTGTGCAATAGAATGGGCATATATGTACGTACCTCCTCTTGGCAATGAATCATTGAAGAAACCTTCAATGGCTTCACATGTACTGCCATCTCCGCCACAAACACGGCATCTATCTTCCTTAGCATCAGACCCCAAAATATTATCACAACCTACATGCTGAGAATAGATAAGAAAAAATATTTTAACAGGATGATGGTCTTATACCACTGTCTTCATATTTTTTTGAAGTGTTTCTGTCAAGTTTGAGATAATCAGTTCTTTTTATCTACCCTGTTTTTGATAGCTGTAACTGTAAGTGGGTTTTCACTTACCAGGGAAAGAAAATAAAGGAGAACAAGACACGTCTGGGTTGTTACCAAATCTTGATTGATTAGAACTTTGCATTTCTGTGATGACTTTCAGGAAGGGATCTCACAGTGTTTTACAAACAATGTAATTATTACAGTTATCAATAAATGATTACTGATATTTTTACTTAATATCACAACACTTAACTGTGTTCCATCTATATTGCTTTAAGGCAAACATTTGCTGTGTTCCTTAAACATTTATATAGCATAAATATTTTTACCAAAGGCACTTACAGCTTCATAAACCGTACTTCCACATTACCCAGGCAAAACTTGTGACTGTTTTCGTAAGTTTGAATGTAAAGTGTAAATTACTCTAAGAATGAATGCAGAATGAAACTTAGTGAAAGGCTGAATTAAAAGCTGTATTAGGTAGGATTAAACAGCCTTTGGAAAAAAGAGGTGTCTATAACTGATCATAAAAAATACAATTCATTTCTGATTATCTATTTGAGAAATAAACAATGATTAACTCCTTACAACTTATTGATTCAATCCTATTACAAAGCTGACGAAAATAAAGACAGTTGGATCCTTAAAACAAAATAAAACAAAAAAGAGAATGAACAAGTAGGACGTAAACAGACTGAACACTGCAGCTTGCCATTTTTTTCTGGGATTTATACAAAAAAGGAAGCAGCTACATAACTTTGTTTACTGTCTAGCAATAAATATCATCTACCATCTTATAAATGCATAATACATAGGCCATGAAAGATGTTAGAATACTTTAAATAATTGACAAAATAGTATTATTCTAACCATTTACATTTCAACTTTCTGTTTCACCAAGACGACAGAGGCCCAACTTTATTACATAGCTCATTCTCAACTTGAAATTTAGTTTTAAAAGACTTTTCAAAACCATTAATATTTTCATATGCATGAAGTACACCAGAATTCCACAGGTTATTTCTTAGGGTTTTTTTGATATCAACATGTTATTCAATAAACATATATCTTCAGCCCTCAATTTAGCAAAGAACTTTAGCATTGTGTTAAGCTTTAGTTATGTTAGTAGTTTCAGTGAAATCAAATACTTTTTAGAGTCACCGGCACAGTTCAGATGTTTAGATTTAAGTACAGAATTAAACACTTTGCTGAAATGAAGCAGCAGTGGGATGTATATAACCAAAAATATAGCACAGACCTTCAGTTTTATTCAAATTCATGTAATGCAATTCTATAGGAATCTCACAAGATTATCAGATTTTTAGTAAAAGAAAAAAAATTGCATTATACATTTTTTCCTAGAACTACAGAGCAATAGTGACAACTTTGTTTCAATCACATTAATAACAGAATTGTTCGCAACAGGATGAACTAGTTAAGAGAAAAACAAATTAATATTTTCACATTTACTGTTTTTCAGTCAGAGTGGTGTTCTAACTGGAATGATGGAACAGGCCCTGGAACAGTACAAGTATTCTGTTCATCTCCTGTTGCCTTTTCCACCAATTCTTCAACAGAAAACACAAAGCAAGGGGAAAAAAAGACAAAATGAAGGATTCTATGAATGTCTGTAAGAAGCTACTGAAATTTAAATGATTTGTCTAATTTATGCAATACCTTTTTTATCATTTTGTAGCAATCTTACTTTTTCATTAACAATTTGACCTGTCAACACTCGTGTTCCATGTAAGTAAGCACCATAATTAAATGTACGAGATAGCAGACATAACAAATTAATCCTTAAGTACTTTATAAAACATTTGTAACCTTGCATTCTCCATTGATACAGATATCCAGTGAATCAGCATTGCACTGAGTCCCATCTATTACTGCAGGAGCACGTTCAGTGTAAAAATTATAACCTTCAGCCAAGCAGTTTAATGCACATGGTTTAACCCCACCTGGACAACAAAAATGAATGAAAAAAAAACCAAACAGAAGTCTTGAAAAGTTAACAGCTAGTTAAAGTATATATGCATAAACAGATCTGAAATTTATAATCTTATCTCATACCTGACACATATAATGTATATACTTTATTTAACTTCCCTTTATTGATTTCTCTACTTGACTCTTCTTTCTTGCAAAAAAGATTATTTCGCATAGTAAGATATGGCAAGGTTGGCTGGCTCCATAACGATTCCATTATGTTAATACAACCCTAATGATTATTAAACAATTTAAAACAATAAGGATACCACTTCACCATTTGAAAAACAAGAATAACAAAAGAATGTAGTGCTAGAAGTATATCAATGTAAATTTCAAAGCAAACATCATACTATTTTAGTTAGGAATTTAGTCCCACAGAATTACATTATAGCTCAGACCACATGATCACAGTGATGGTTTTTAGGCATTTTATCTAAAAAGCTAAGAGTAAAACTACCCACATCACTAAAATACAAAAACACAAGGGGAAACATGGACTTATTCACTATAGGTTTAGAACACGAAAAAAACAAAATAAAACTTAGAAAGACAGAAACATAAACTTGATTAAACTGTCCCAAAAAGAAATAATATCCTTCTTCCCTGCAAAAGACCCTTTTATTGCACAGTGCAATTATTTATAATTCAATTACTGCAGCAGTAATTGGAGACTTTTACAAATTCTTTACTTCTTTTTCCTTTTCCTAGTATTCTCACCTTAAGAAAGGAAAAATGATTGTGAGATTTTTTTATACTGAACTCATCACTGTGGCATAAAATGCACTTACAGATCACCTATGGAATCTCTAATTATATTGCAACTGCAGGTGGAGAAGGGCTCCATATTTTTAAATTGGAGTCCCTACAACAATGCTCACTCTCCTTCATTGTAAAAACGAAACTGTATCAGCATAGAGATGGCTCTTTCTGCAACATCTTCAGCAACTGACAAAAGTGCTAGTAAACTTAGCTCATTATATTTTAATCAAAACACTCTATTTACAAACATTGCTCTTTATATAACACATATAATTTTCAAGACTTCACATATGGAAACATGTTTGTGAAGATAACCATTACCTCCAGTGTAGGGTTTCCAGTTATAATACTTTCCCCGGAAAGGCATATTGTCAAAATCTGCACATTGCTTTTCTCGAAAATCACGGGCCCCTGAAGGACATGGCTGAAATAATGAAGACAAAAAAAAGGTTAATTTCTTCCAAATATCAACAGAAAAGGAAATGCTCATAGGCTTACATCGCAAACATAATCATTCAAGAGACTAGGAGGTGGTTCCCTGCTTTGTCTTGTGGCTCTTCTTCTGGAACTTGCTTTATTGTTTTACAGTGTCTGTTTTATTACCTTAGCCTGGCATGAAGTAACTGAAGTAATTTAAGCAAAGGTAACTGTTATAAAACAGTTTCCATAAAACAGGACAGTCAGAATCACATCAAACTATGCCATCAGCTACCTCTTTATAAACAGCTGAAATAATTAAACCAAAATAATTTGGTAAGAGCTGTAAGCTCAGTTATACTGTACTGAGCAGCTGTACAGAGCAGTGCTACTAAGACATCAAGAAAAAAACCCAAACACTTTCTAGAGTTGTATCACCTCTGGTTACTTGTAACCTTGACAAAAGCACTGTGTTAAGGCTGAGAACAGATACCATGTTTGGCTCTGATTTTAATAGTCTCCAAGAGTGACGAAATAAAAACTGCTTTCATTTGAATTTTCATTACTTCACATTACTTATAATAAAACTGTAAAGTATCTTACTTGGAATAAGGGTAGATATAAGTGAAATTCATCTTGGAAAGAATTACAGGAGAGAGAATTCTTTGCCATTTCTCATATTTTTCATCAGCAGGTTCACAGTAATAATCACAACTAATCTTGAATACACCCAGAATTTAGATAGCACATTAAACATTGTTATCAATGTTTAAGTACCTGCTGAAATTGCAAGCTTCATCAGTCAAAGTATTTGAAATACAGATCAAAATAATTTTTAGACTGAAAAAGAATCTGTTTGACAGAAATCAGAGGTGTCAATAAATACTACTATTTTATGAGCAACAGAAATGTCCATTTTATGACAGTTATACTTGTATCTAAGCCACTTAGCATGGTTCAGGAATGTGAAATGCACTGAAGTGAAAGGGTTTCTATAAACACGGATTATGAAAATTTGCTGCACACTGCAAATATTAATAAAATAATTATGATTCTCAGTAACACGTATCAAGTTCTTATAAGAGCCAGTCCACTGCAATATAATTCAGAGACTAAATTTTGGTTTTGCAATTTTGAAGCTGTTGCCATATAAATTAAACAGTGCACATAGTAGTACTTAAATTTTATTTTTCTCTATAAATTATTCTGTTATCTCCCTCCCTATAAAAATACGTTTTTGAATATAATACATTTACTGATTAAAAAAACCAATGGTGAAACTACTTAAATTCAGTAATTCTTCAAGTGAGAACACTGAGCATAAAACATAGAATAAACACAGAACAGATCCTCCTAGAAGCAATACTAAGACATATGGTACACAGGGGGTGATTTGAGATTGCCAGCATGGCTTCACCAAGGGAAGGACAAGTCCTGCCTGACCAACCTAGTGGCCTTCCTTGATGGAGTGACTACAACAATGGACACAGGAAGAACTACAAATGTCATCTCTCCGAGCTTCTGTAAGGCCTTCGCCATGGTCCTCCACACTATCTTTCTCTCCGTATCAGAGAGATACACATTAGATGGATGGACTGTTCAGCAGATAATGAACTGACTGGATGGTTGCATCCAGACAGTAGTGGTCAATGGCTCAGTGGTCTAGATGGAAATCTGTGGTGATGTCCCTCAAGGGTTCCTACTGGGACCAGTACTGTTTAATATCTCTATCAATAACATAGACAGTGGGATTGAGTGCACCGTCAGCAAGTTTGCAGATGACACCAAGCTGAGTGGTGCAGCTGACAAGCCTGAGGGATGGGATGCCATCCAGACAGACTTGGACAAGCTCAAGAAGTAGACCCATGTGAACCTCAGAATCTTCAACAAGGCCAAGTGCAAGGTCCTGCCTGTTGATACCAGCAACCTCTGGTATCAGCACAGGCTGGGGGATGAGTACCCCTGAGGAGATGGACTTGGGGGTACAGGTGGATCAAAGATCGAACATGACCTGGCAATGCGTGGTTGCAGCCCACAAGGCCAATCATATCTTGGGCTGCATCTGTATTATCTGTACCGTCCTCTTGAACACAGCTCTGGTAGTCTGACAGAAAACCAGCTACACACAAGTAAGCACAGCCTGTAATCTCACTGATGACAGGAACAGCAGACAAGGCTGGGAATACCTGGAAGCAGCTAAAGGAATTGTGTGAGCAAAGCATACAACAGTCCTACTCACTTGGTATTTTATCTGGTATGGTAGTCACAGAATCTTAGAATGGTTTGGGTTTGAAGGAACCTTAAAGATCTTCTAGTTCCAACCATCCAGCCATGGGCAGGGGCATCTTCCACTAGGGCAGGTTGCTCCAAGTCCCTTCCAACCCGACCTTTAACACTTCCAGGGATGGGGCATCCACAACTTCTCTGGGCAACCTGTGCAGTGTCTCACCACCCTCCCAGTAAGGAAATTCTTCCCAATACCTAATCTAAATCTACTCTCTTCTAGTTTACAGCCATTCCTCCTTATTCTATCCCCACATGCCATTGCAAAAAGGTCCTCCAGCTTTCTTGTAGACCACCCTTTAGGCACTGAAAGGCTGCTACAAAGTCTCCCCAGAGCCTTCTCTTCTCCAGGTTGAATAATCCCCACTCTTTCAGCCTTTCCTCACATGGCTGGCTTCCGATGGCTCAGGGGGGACCTTATCACCATGTTTCAGTATTTAAAGGGTGGCTACAGAGAAGATGGATACTCACTTTTTACAACGAGTCACATTGAAAAGATGAGGGTAATGGGTAGAAGTTACTCCAAGGGAAATTCCTGTGACTGGACACAGGAAAAAAGTTTTTCACAATGAGAACAATCAGCCATTGTAATAATCTTTCCAGGGAAGTGGTGGATTCTCCAACATTAGACATTTTTTACGATTCAGATGGAAATAATTCTGGGACATCTAGTCTACACCATGCTTTTACCAAGAAAGGTTAGACCAGATGATCCTCAAGGTCCCTTCCAACCTGGTATTTTATGATTCTATGAAAATCATACATACAGAAATGCAAAAACATTACTGCAAAGTAAATTATAAAATGCCAGCTCTTTGGCACTGTCTCCTTGTTATATACTCTTTTCCCAAAGTAAATATGCAATAAGTGCTTCTCTTTCTTGTGTAAATATTTCTTGTTTTTCATGCACCTATAGTACATGGATAACTCTTGTCAAGCAACAGGCTGCTTGTGTTTCCAAACAGTCTTTTAGGAGACTGCAAATCATGAGGTGAGAATCTAATGAAGGTATAAGAACTTTAAGACAGGTCTGACAAAGTCTTGATAAGAAAACTGTGAAATAATTAAAACTTCTGAGTTTAAAGAAGCATTGACTTTAATGAGAACATGAAAAATTTTAAGACTGAATAAAAAATAGTCTAAATAATGCTAACAAATCATTGAACCAACACTGACAAAACACCAAACCTTTTATCTCACAGAAATGTGTTTATCTTGGAGCTTAAAGTCAGGCAGACTTCAGTAATAGAACTCACTGTGTTTCCTGTTAATAAAGGACTACAGTACACCTCACAGAAGATTAAAAACACAGCCAGGAGGGTTACAGTTGAAACTCAGGTATTGTTCCATGATTCCATGATATATCTCCTCTAATGAATGTGTTTTAGAAAAAATTGGCTTGAAAATATTAAAATTATGAAAGTAATGAACAGTACCTGTGAATATATGCATAAAGGAAGCAACCAACAAAATCCAGTTCCTACATTCTAGTAAAAGACTGAAGAACAACTGGTACAGTGATAGTACTGAACAAAAACAAGACTCTTTTAAAGGTATGTATGTACAGATAAACCCTTTACCGAACTTGTAAGCAAAATTAGTTTCTTATTGTGTATAAAAAATTAGAAGGCTTTTACAGTTTTAGATGTAAATCAAATTATGTTTCACATCCTATACTTCCTTTAAATCAGACAATGAGTTACTTTTAACTGAGTAACTATGTGCCTTGCAAGTCTATGATTTTTTTTTTTTTAATTAAAAGTACTTTGATTGGAAAAGACATGATTTTACTAGAAGTATTGTGGTTGGTGGTAGAAAATAAGTTTCTGATGAGTGTGTTTCTTTCTACCATGCTTTTTTTTCAGAATTCATTACCTAATGTTTTTTTCTGTTGATCTCAATGTTTCCATTAGCCTTTTGAATTAAGAAGTCATATATGGCTTTAAAAATGTTTGATGAGAAACAAACCTACTAGGAGTGTGAGCACTGTTTCCAAAGAATTAGAATAATTAAAATGGTCAAAAGAAAGGGCAACTTTCTCATCTCCGAAAGAAAAAAGAAGTCAAAAATAGGAGCTTTAGCGAGTGCTACATCAAAAATTACAGATGGGCAATGAACGTTGACATTGCAAGATAAACTTCAACAGAAAAGAGGTACAAACAACACATTTTTCATAAAAACAATGACAGAACTGCTTGCTCTTAACGCTTACATTAATCAAACATACCATTCCATTAAAAAATGTCAGCCACTAAGGACAGTGATAAATCTTGAAACAAAATCTACTAATCTCAGCTATTCTTGGTTACGTAGAACCCTAAATATTACTATAAATATTAGTATAAATGAAATGGACTACAATCATCAAAACCATTAAGGCAGTAAATTTAAAATTCTGTAAGTACCAACATATTTATGCACTGGAAAACCATACCCCAAAAATATGCTAAAAATATGATTCACAGTCAAACTGTAACAATGGCACTTCCAAATTGCCTGGTCCGAGTCTGCAATTGTTCAAGAATTCTTTTCAAGACCTAGGCAACAAAATGCAAAGTTTCCTTTCTAGTATCTTGTTTAATTTATTGACTGAAAAATGAATATAGGCAGGGAACGAAAATTTTGGAACAGAGTTTTACAATTTTGAAAGAATTGAATTGATAAATTGGAGCAGTGGTTTGCAATTAAAGCAATGGATGCAAATTACTACACTTGAGTAGGAACAATCAACTGTGCAAGCACAATTTGAGGAATGACTTCATAAAGCGCAGCTCCTAGGGATTTTGGCATTACACATCAGCACAGACTAAATAAATATTGCCACTCTTGCAAGAAAAATGAACACAGTACTGAAATGAATAAACAGAACCCCATCACTAGGATGAAAAACTAAGTTATACTTATGATACTAAGTTATCTTAGTATCCTTTATCTCTGAAAGGGTTTAGCTAGAATCCTATGCAGAGGTTTGGGCACCATGGTTCCCAATGTGCACTACTGGGATCCCTAAGTCTATTAACACAGAAACCATCTAGTGTGAAGAAAACCAAGAAGAGACATGATACTAATCTGCAAACACAGGAAAGGCTCCCACAGAGGAATGATATCAGCTGTCTTCTTACTGGGAAAAAAGTAAGTAAGGGTCTTAAAGGATGGCAAAACATACACTGTATTTTATTAAAACTGTCCCGACTGTAAGGATATTGAAGAGTCCTAATGTTATCTCCAGGAAGAACGGTTTTAATGGTTTAATGACAGTTGATTTTGCCTTCAAGCCAGGGAATAGCCTGAATGGCCTCCTCAGATACTTTCTAGATGTTCCTTCTGTGACCCTGTAAGCTTCCTCTCAGTTACAATCAAACAAAGAGAGAATAAAGCAAGTAAAACCAACTAAGAATAAAATGGTCTGAAAAGTGTTTGATACATTTCAATGATATCACTAGGTAGCTAAGATTGTTAGTAATTAAAAAAACATTAAAAAACTGTGTATTTGTGAGGCAGCAGGATTACATACACTTTCTTGCATACTAGTTACTGTAGCAGATGCTAAATAGTATCTATTGGAGATAAACATTTTAAATAAGACTGCCTGGACAATTATCTCATCACAGCCTTCAAAAAGTTAATGGAGGAAGGCTCCAGTGTGTTAATGTGAATTTTTTAACATATCTTAGCCTGTGTGTACAAACTGAAACAGGTCATTATTTGAAACAAGCAAATAGAATATTCCAGTTACAGTTTGCCTGGTATCAATCCCAAATAAATAGAAGAGGTGGCAGAGAATTGACTGACACAGTTTTAAAGGAAAGGTAGATAATAATGCAAATCATACAAATCAGTATTTTGTGTAAGAGTAAGTTTTATCAACTAAAACCTTTTATAATTCCTGGTTAAATTAAAATTACAATGGAATATGCTTAGATTTTGATAAAGCACTTAAATTAGTAGCACACAACATCCTGACTGAAAAGAAACAGAAACAACCTGATACTCATTTGGTAAAGCATATACTATATTTAATACCGACTAAGAGATTTCAATACAGATTCTCAGTTGGTGAACTTGCAGGCGTATTTCCTATCAACTGTAAGAACATGAAACACACTCAAGTGTTACTCAACATTATCATTTGTGAATTGGAATGAAACTGGAACAAAAAAAAAACTCGCTTATGAAGTCTTCCAATAACAGAAAGACCATCTAAGTGAAAATAAAGACAAAGACAAATTAATCACAGGAGCAAATCTGGTAAGCTGGACCCATTAAATGAAAACTGTACAAGGACAGCCAAGTGTGAAGATACACATCTACAGAATCAGAGTTTCAGAATGGCAAACTGCAATTTGGAAGGCTGTATGACTGGAAAAGTTTTACAGCTCCTACTGGACAAGCAGTTCAGCTTCAGTCTCTCTTACTGTGGCTAAAGGCCTAATGCTGTGGCCAAAAGACCTTAACATACTTCTTGGCTGTGTGAACAGAAGAGCTGCAATTGGCAATACAAAAGTAATTTTTAATTTAGAAATTTGTAATACAGCTTAATAATGACAATAACCTCCACAGAGAAGTTTGCAGAACTAATACTTATGATAATTAGTAATGATCATAAAAGCCAGTTGTTTTTTTTTTTAAGGAGTCAGCATATCAACTACTGAGTTTTTTTCCTGAAAAATGTCAAAAAATAAACAGGTGAAACATCAGCTTTAGGTACAGACTCTCCCACTGAAAGGAACTTCCTTGATTTAAGAAGAAAATTAAGACAAATTTGAGGCTGAAATAATATGAAAGCCTGTTTATGTTTGTAGTGCTAGTGACTTGGAAACTTACTAGTGAAATTCCTTATTGGCATGTACTCTTTTTCTAGTTCAATTTTTAACTCAACTGGATTTGTAATCTAGTTTCACAATTTGATTTTGTACCTTTAGCCTCTACCCCATCCTCTCATGGTTGTTCATTACTTCAATAGCTCAGCTCTACAATAAAACTGTATGATCATTCTGGTAATACAAAAAGCAGCAGATTTGTGTTTTAAATCAGCAGATAGGTGTGTTTTAAACCTGCCAAATTTCTGTTAAATGGTTTTGTCAAATGGTTTAAAACACACCAAAAGAAATACATTCTCACAAATTGCGTAAGGTGACTGTGTAACACATTAGCGCTGGAAGTTATAAAGGTATAAAAAGAGTAAGAGGGTTTAAAAGTGGATTCATGGAGGATACTTCCATTTCCTAGACTTATAGAATGGTTTGGGTCTTAAAGACCATCTAGTCCAACTCCCCTGCCCTGGTGAGGACACCTTCCACTAGACCAGGTTGCTCAAAGCCCATCCAATCTGGCCTTAAACATTGCAAGAGATGGGGCATCCACAACTTCTCTGGGCAACCTGTTCCAGTGTCTCACCACTCTGACAGTGAAGAATATTTTCCTATTATCTAACCTAAATCTGCCCTCTTTCAGTTTAAAGCCATTCCCCCTTTACCTGTCCATTTTTTTGTGGCAGTTACTATAGTTCAGACATGACATGGAACTCAAGAATTACCTTTAGAGACACCCAGAGTTACTGGCCACTGCTGGAGTACAAGACACTGGGCTAGAGAGATCTTAGCTCTGACATGGAATGCTCCTTGCTGACTTTTAACATTGATGCTCATGTTGAACTCACTCCAGTCCTTAATGTGAATACACAAGCTGGGCATCACATTCAGACAAGGATCCTAACATTTAGCAGAACTCATAGGGTGCCTGCAGTATACAACTGCCCTACAGGACTGCCTGTCAATCAAATGCAGAATTCAAGGCTTTTCTAAAGAGAAAGAAAGCATCCATTGCTGCTAAAATGTAAAGCGAACAAGTTAATTATACTTCTACAGTAGAATAAAATTTACTTACATCAGTATTACATGAGCGATACCGCTTCCTTTCCCCAAGACAGTATTTGCCTCCACCTGAAGGTCTAAAAAACATGTTTATGTGTTAGTATATGCATTATTAGCCCAAACACAAACCTAAAAAATACATATTAAATTAAAAAAAAAAAAAAAAAAAAGTACATGGAAGTTTTAAGGTGAGATTTTGAAATATTTTATTTAGTAAGAATTGCAGAATTGACTTGAATTGGAGCAGATAAAAAACAATAGTGGGTATTTGAAAATCATCACTTATATAATGATGAGTCATCTAGTTTGCATATACGGTTTAACTGTATTTTGAACATACTAAAAAGGCATTGTTTTTAAATTATTTTATTGCTTTGTAAAACTAGAATGAGAAATATGTAAACAAGCCATATGAGAAGGGTTTTTTTTAATCTTCTCATATTACACTTGAAAATATTACAAAATGAAGAGACACTGTCTGCTAAATACTGGAGCCAGAAAAGACTGCATTTTCTAGTTCAAGAATCTGATTCTGATGTGAATTAAGCAGTAGTAAAGCTGAGGGAACTCCAGGGTAAGCAGATTTCTATTAGTGTGAATAAGACACTGGCTCTTAAATTCCTTAACTGTTCAAAAACCTCATCTTTCATGGATAGATTTGACACAGGTCAAATAATCAATTAACATTGTCTTAAATGTAAGATTAATCAGACATCAGCTCTTTGGCTCATAACTTGAAAGCAGAAATGAAAAAGCTTTGTGTTTGTTTTTTAATAAAGAAATAAAAGAATTTTCAATCAACTAGAAAGAAGATCAATACCGGTTTTCACATTACAGCTATTTAACCAAGCAACACTGTCCTCGAACCAAAAGAATTTTTTTCCTAATACAGACATCCTCCCCCCTCATCGCAAATGCATTTGCTTGATGCACTGTTAAACATTTAAAATTTAATCGCTTTTCAACGTACCAACCCATATACATAGTAACAGGAGTAGTTAAAAAATCTGAGGAAATTACTCATGCTCCAAACAAATATTCCACTAGCATTTTTACATATGGCTTTGAAAATTAATTTATTATTCTCTCGGTAACATAGTCTGACATATTATCAATGCATATGGATAATTTTTGCCTTTGAATTCATTAAGCAGTGCTATTTGCCAGATTTGATAGTTACTGCTAATGATAGGAGGTGAACAGACCACCTGAAGCAGTAGTAATGTAACATTATAGCATCTTGATGCCTTGCAGAATGTAGTGCTGATGTGCAGCCTGACTTGCAAAACATGGGTACAAGCAACAAAGAACTTAAGTGTACAGAGAGGAGATGATATGGAAGGAGTGATACATGCCACAGAATGGATTTCTATTAAAGAAGCAGAAAAGCTCAATGTCTTCAAGAAAAAGTGGTCTTAAAAACTACTGATGGTGACAGAAATAGCAATTATGGGACATTACAAGAACAAAGTATGGAGTAATAAAACTATCCTTCTGCAAAGACCTACAGCTGTGATGAAGTAAGCAGAACAGAAAAAGCAGCAACAGAAAAAAAGCAGCGATTCATATAGCAAGAAACTGCAATGGAAAAAGGTAGGCATTCTTCATTTAAGGACCAATAGTGACAGAGGGAGACGCAGTTACCTGACAGACCTTCTATGGAACAGTAGTCAGGACACTGGAAAACAGACAAACGACAGGACAAGTACAGATACACACAACAGATCAAGGTGTAGTAGAGTAGCTGGCCCCTCTTGAGAGAGAGTAGATGGACCAACTGGGAGTACTGGCAGGGAGAGAAGCTGATAAATTGTTTTAAGAGAGAGCGGGAAATCACAACTAAGTGCTGGACATGACAGCATATAAATGTATTGTATGCTACCTAATATTACTAACTATGGTTTATATGTAAGCAGTTGTATGCAGAAGCTAGGAAATACTGTGTTGGGATTTCAATAAGTAACAGGCAATAGTTATTTTCTATCCTAGGCAAGCATCAGAGGTAATATGTCTTAAGAAAGAAATCTATCTAAGGCATAATTTAAATATATTCTGCATGAATAGCAAGATGCAGAAAGAAAACCATTCTGGTTATTGCTAAATAAAAATCCAGCTATCTTTACAGTATAGAAGATAGATTAAAAATGTTAAAAATATGTCTAGTGAACTTCTCCTGTTTCTGTCTGCAATTCTGAAGACAAATGCTGGCAAACTAGCAAAACATTTTTACAGATAACATGTGAAACCACAGTTTTGAATAATTTCCAAATGTGTCTTTTTGTTGGCTCCGGCTTACTTTAGCTACTTACGCTGGACTGTCACAGTGTCTTATAGATGAGGAGACTCCTCCCCCGCAGGTCCTGCTGCACTCTCCCCATATTGACCACGGACCCCAACCCCCATCTATGCTCTGGGGCCAAGTGCCAAAAGGTACGCACTCTCCCTGATAACACCACTGAAAGATTTCACAAAAAAACACAGAATTAGCTTCCAGGCTGACACAGTTATCAGGACAGAAAAATATAAGGGTCAGGCAATGACCAATTATAGGCATTAGCATTCCCTGTATAGATAACACAACTAATATATTACTTTTTCTAGCCATGTTTAGACATCGGTGAGGGTGTGTGTGATTTGTTAATTGTCTTCACCAAGTCCTGAATTATAGGTTCCTATCACACACCAGAAGTTAAAGCAAGCTTAAAATAAAGATTTTCTTTTTTCTTCATACATCCTCCTTAGTGTTTCTTATTAAAGGAACTGCAAGTTGCTTACATTCCTTTAAACACTAAGATTCATCTCCAAGATCAGTTTTGTAAAACACCCTCCGCTAGGATTCATGTGAAGGCTTCATTATGCAAAATTAAAAATTCGACCCAATAGTATTTTTAAGAAAGTATTCTGTTACATTATAAAAAAGAAAATCTGGATGAGGTTACAATGGAATAAGAATTTGTTGCAGTACTTCATTTACACTAGCCTTACAGACATAACAAAAGTAGTGCCAAAGTATTAGACATAGTACAGAAAATTATTATATAATAGTGAGTGGCCACTTGTTCAGTGACAGAATGAACATGCATACCCCACTCATGCAAAAACTTAAACTTTGCAATATTGTTACTTACACTGGACATACAAAAAGACAGACAATTCACAACAAATGGCTCGTTAAAATAAGTTTATAATTCCCTTAGTCAGAAACCTTTTTTAAACCATTCAGAAATAATCCTGGAGCCCGTAGTTTGATCCACATTCTGGCGCATCACTGAGAATCTGGAGTGGCTCAGTTAGAGCTACTCTCCTACCATTATAGGCACAGGTGACAGAGTAAATTACAGGTTTATTGTGACCTGAATCTGCACATCTCACTTTTAAAAGATGGCAATCTGCTCTTCAACTCCCTTGAATTTCCCAAACAGACACACTATTGACCCTTTCCAAAAAGAAACCCAGACAACTTCTGTGTCCAAAATCAGCCACATGAATTTGACAGAAAGCATTAAGACTTGAGCAGAAGACATGGACAGACACAAATCCCTGTCACCCATAAGAACTGCTGGAAGACGCAGTGCCAACTTTATACTTTACACCTCTACAAGTGTATATAACAAGCAGAGCAAAGTTTTCTCTTCTAAGTCCTAAGGCTCACCTAAAGTCTCAGTCACAGCAATATGGGACATATACTAACAAGTGAATACAGCCATCCACAATGACCTGATTTAATCTAGATTTTTCTGAAGGAAAAAGAAAAGAGAATTTAACCTACTGTCACTACTCAGGGGAAAAAAAGAAAAATCTCATGTGAACAAGGATTGTAGAGAGTGTTAAATAAATAAAAATCCTTTTTTCATTAGAAATTTCATTTTTAATAAAAGGTACTTCTAGACTATCAAATATGTTAGTGTTTAGCTCTTCATGTACATTTAAAATGACAGATTACTGTTAAAATTTGTAGCTTATCGTCAGCAGACACACCTAGGTACAATAGTTCTGCTAGGATATGAACACATGCTACCATTTAATATAGTATTTCCTTGTTATAATATTTGTTATTTCCACACTAATAAAATTGTAGCATTATTTTTCCAGCCACATTCACTTTTGTTTCTTCTCTCAATAAATTTTTATCCTTCATGACCTCTTTTTTCTCTGTATGTATTGTGCCTCTTTCAAAACACACCTGGTACAATCCAGCACATTTCTGTTTCTAAACCTCACCCTGTTATCAGTTAGAGAAACAAAAAAATAAGCATTCCTGTGTCCATAGAAAAGATAAGGTGTACTATTTTAAATCTCAAGTTCAACATGCATTGCCTTTTCTACCAGGTCTAGCCAGGACAGAGTCTTCCTCATAGCAGCCAGTATGGTTCTGTTTTTGGTTTGTGACCGGTGTGGACAATGCAGTGATGTCTTAGCTAATGCTCAACAGTGCTTGCACACCATCAAGGCTCTCTTGGTTTCCCAACCTGCCCCTCAAGTGAGTAGACTGGGGGTAGGCAAGAGGTCGGGAGAGGACACAGCAGGGACAGCTGACCCCAAATGTCCACAGAAATATCCTATACCCTATAAAAATCACACTCTGCAGTAAAACTGGGGGTTGGGATGTTTCCAAAGTAGCTGCTGCTCAGACTAGCTGGGCAACAGGCTGCTGGTGGGAGATAGAGAGCAACTGCCTTTGATCTCCTGTTTGCTTTTTCTTTCTTTTCCTTTCACTTACTGTCTGTCTCAGCCCATTAATTTTTCTGTTTTTCCTGCCTGATTCTCTCCCCCATCCCTGTGTGGCAGTAAGCAAGAGACTGGGTGGACTCAGCTGCTGGATGGGGTCAACTCACATGTAACCTTCTTCAGAAAAAAAAACCAAACACACAAAGTTTCATGGATTTGTAGTGAGGAAAAGCAGGTTTAATCTGTATTTACGAATCAGAGGTTTATGCCAATGAGCAGGCATCCATCAGAAGAATAAACCCTTTATACAGAGCTTCGCTTAAATCCAGACTATCACTGCATGTCTGCATAACATGTAATGTGGTCCTATAGTAAACCCACATTTAGCTAGTATAGATACAATCCATACATCTCAGTGTTTTACAATGCCAGTAACAGCGCCATTATGACAGAGAATGAAGTATTTGTGAGCTACACAGAAGGGATTGAAATTTTCTGAGTTTCCTCTCATTATAGTGATAACTTAAGTGAAAAGTATTTTATTAACTAAATAATCTCCTTGCAGCATTCTATTAACGATGCCACAAAACTGTATGAACCGTTATCTAATGCTAAAGTCAAAAGCTAAAACTTTAAATGCTTCTAAGAGTAAAAATTTATGTAAAGATTTTATCATTCAATTTAAAATACATTTTATATATTACAAACATGACAAAATCAGTTATGAAATGAAAGACAGAGTTAAATCACAAGAATATCACATATGTCAAACAGAACATGAAAACCATCCTATCTGCATACTATTATGACTGTATATAATTGGCAGGTGCATTCTACCTGCTTTATTTTTCCAAAGCTGTGTAAAATCACTATACTCTGCAATTTTCTTAGTCATGCAAACATTGTCTTGCACATTCACATATTTCCTTGTAAAAACTCCTTAAATTCTGTGTTTCCTACTCTACCAAAGCTAAATGTGAGGACTTACTGCTCGCTTCTGTGTCTTTCCCTTACTTTCAACTGAAAATTATCTTTCACCAAAAGCCAGTGATGGATAGAATCTCTGACAGAGTAATTAAAAATTACCAAAATCTTCATTATTTCTAATGGAACTACAGAAATATGCTTCCTCCACAAATTTTAGCAACCTCATCTGTTATAACGAGGTAATGACTACTGAGTAACCAGAATATCGAGAGACAAGAAAAGATGACAACTATTTTAGAAAACACTCCTTCGTGAAAGGTTTAGAACTGAAATGTTAATTCTTCTCTTAACACTGAATAAATAACTTCCAATTAGTTGAACTAGAAAGACAGTGGTGATGTATTTGAGTATCTACAAAATGTTCAAAACATTGTGAATATTGTAAGCAGCCTGAAATTTTTCTTGTAGAGAACACTAACAATAAGATAAAACATGATACTGTGGCAGACTTCAGATCATTTTACATATTAGCTGTTTAACAGAACTAAGACTTACAAAACTCACACAGCAATTACTCTAATATTGCGGAAAACATTCATCTTTTGTAGTGGAAAAACAAAAGATCAATTCAATTTAAATTTCCCACCTCAATTTTAACAAGGTATTTTCAAATATTGCTTCTACAATTGTTTTGCAAGAAAACTTAATGTCCAATAATAACTTACATTTACCTTATCTTAATGTCCAGTAATAACTCTAGTTATTTAGATAATAGATCTAGTTACTTAAACTGTCCTTTCAGCACACTGTGTTTACACTTCTTGCACATTTGCCCTTTATTTACATTCCTAGCATGGATCTAAACAGTTATGATAGAAAAAGTTACTTCTTTATTATTTTAAATTAGAAGATAAAATAAACATTCCTATCAATTTTGTCTTACTGTTTTACATGCACCACTTCCTCATCTGTATATTTTTAAAATCTATCAGTTACTTTACCTTCACAAACACGCCTCTGTGTATACCAGAGAGAAACTTCATGTATATTTAAAATTATTATTACAAATTAGGAAAAAGTGTACCTTTTTGAACCCAGCAGATATGAAAAACCCTTCACCAAAGCATGAATATATTAAAGCTTCAAAACAGAACAGATGTACAAGTTCCATCAGTAGCAAGAAACCACTCTATTCTTTTTCCCTGTACGCAGAAAACAGCTGAGTAACTTTCATGGAAAACATTCTAAAAACCTTCAGGTGCAGGCAGACATCTACTGTGGAAAATTTCAACCCAGACAGTTAAAAGTTTGGCAGGTTTATATAAGCAACTGAAAGAAGGTTTTATAATGGTGTGTTAGGCCATTTTAATTGTAGAAATCCCTCCCACCTCTGCCAATAAGATATAAGGGCACACTGCTTCAGACTTGCTTTAACAGTTACATGGAATTTACATTAGTGTAACTAAAAGCAGAAACTGACCTTCCAAATATGATAAAGTACTTTGAGATCTTTACAGAAGGGCACATCATTTATTATATATTTGGACAGAGCCCAGCAAAATAGGGCCTAATCTGGTTGTGGCCTTCAGGCATGACTGCAATATAAATATAATAATAATAAAAATAATAATGAATGTACCCTGTTATTTTCTCCTTAGCATCTGGCAAAAAGAACTAAAGATTTGGAAAAACCTTGTGTTTTATGGGATTTTTTGCTATCAGGAATTATTAATTTAAAGGAATCTTTGAAGCTGCAGTTTACAGATACAATTCTCTGCTAATAGGCATGAACAGTCTACCACTGTAAAACAGTATGGATTCTCTCATTTCCCTCTAAAATCTAATGTTGAACCAAGACAGTGATAACCGGAAAAAGATGTTTTGTAGAGAGCAAACTGATTAAACCCTCAGGCAAGTGGAGACAGCAACAGTGTCTTCAAGCATCTCAACTTGTTCATTGTTGTATTACAGTTTAAAAATAAAAATGGAGGTAAATTGCTCCTTGTCACTGACAAGGAGTGGTGGTTCCAAAATAAACCTAGACTGTTGATGTAAGCGTGGGGCTTCTACTATTTTCTATACTCTCATAAAAGGTAACGGTTTTGGTAGAATGTAAAGGTGCCTCTATTTTCATTGGCTAACTCTAAGCAGTCTATTTTTTAAAATTACTCCTTCAATGAATTTATTTAACATGGTTTACCAATATTTCCAAAATCAGCATGGAAAAGCCATCAAAACGATGCTAGGTTATAGGGCCTGAATGAAGCCATCAACTAGCATTAATAAACTGTGACAGCTGCTCAAAAGCTTTCATTCTTTTTGTTTAAACATCAGATTGCAATCAAAATGCAGTTGAAACTAGCCGAGCTAGCACGGCGAAAGTCAGAACAAGAATGGATTTTTTCCTAAAAATGACTACTGACATCTAATCTGGAGAAGTAGTAGATCTTATGGACATATGCAGCAACTCTCAAGACAGTACCGGAAATTATATAATCAGCATTCTTCACTTTGCACAAACTTGCATGAAATATATTATCTTAAAAAAAGCCTTATGGAATTCACTTTTTTCCCCCAGTATATGTCCTATAAATCAATAATTAAAATATTTTTCTCATCTCTTTAGAATCTGTATAGATTTTGCCTCGCAATTGAGAAAAGTTCTTTACTATTAAAAGTAAGTTTCAGAACTTTGCCTGAAACTACTGATATACAGACATAGTTTTAAAATAAAAATTCACATGTTCAGACAGACACAGTAGAATTAGACTTTCTGCACTTTTCTGTTAGGTAGAAGAGTTTATCAAACTCCACATCAAAGTCCTCCAAAGCTAAACAGTTATGTAAGTGTAACTGAATACCAAAAGAATAATTCAAAGTCAAAACAGAAAGGCCACTTTGAAATACGAGCTTTTAGAAAACCCTTTTATTAAGGCAAGATTTTTTCTATATGCTTATATGATTCAGCTTGTATCTGAAGGAATAAAGGTTTTATCTTCTAACAACGCAGAGTTCAGGCTCTAGATCTATGTTACACATACTCAAAGTCCATGCCAGACCTAGAATTGCAACAGTCCTTTATGGAAGAGTGTCATAAATTTAATAAAGATTACAAAAATCACAGAAAAAACGATAGAGAGTATCTAACAGGTTGGGGTTTTTTGATCCATGCTATAGAATCTTATAGTGAGGATAAATCTTTTATCAAATTACATATGTAAGTAATTGTGAAACAATTCACGTTTATAATGGACACTTCCATTACAATTCAAATGTATTCCAAATTAATAATTTGTTTACCTCTTATATTTGAGTGTAAGTACTTTAATTTACTAGTTCCTTCTTCCTGTGTTCTTTAAACAATAAACTGCTTTTTCAAACAATAAATTATTAGTACTCACCCCCTTTTCAATGCTCCCTGTTTGGCAAAGAGTACCTTCAGCTGCTGGAATGCTGTTAGTAACACACCGGTTACTTTTGCTGAGGCACCAGAGCTCTCTACACACTTCCTAGGAAAGAAGGCAGAAGCAAGTTGATCAGAATGGAAGCCTAAAATTTCAGTCCTTACACACAAACATACACACAAATTTGTTCTGAAAAGAGACCATTAAGAAGTGGGCTGAAGAGATAAATCTATAGATAGTTGGGAAATTTTCTGGAGCAATTCCAAAGCCACTGTATTTTACCTAAGAGTAATCTGTCAAAAAAAATCTGGAAGCATCAAATTGTAGACTAGAAGAATGTGTTTTTCACACCTGTCATTCAAATAATGTTTTATAGTTGCTTTTTTCTTGATTAGTGCTAATACTGGGCTTAATATGTTTTAGCATGGCTGTAAAAGCAGTCTTCAGATGTGCTCTAGTATCTCCATTACTGTCATTATCTGACTCAAAATTACACAATAAAAGGATACTACTAACTCTGAAATATGAAACAACAACAATTATTTTTGTTTTCTTTAGTTAAAACCAAAGTTTCTGAGCTCAGACTACTTCCACTCCTCTTCTGTAACACTTGCTAAAACAGTGCATGTGTGTCCAGTTCTGAGCTAATACTAAATTAATTCCTGTAGGCTTTTCAAAATTTGCAGCTGATAGTCCATAAATGATTTAGCCTATGTTGTCAGTGTTAAACGAACACAGGTTTTCAAACCGTCTTTTTTCCTACCACATTTTCTCATTTGTTTTTGCACATTTACTCATTTAAATTAAGCTAGTTTTGTTGATATTGGAAATTCATTGTTAAAACTACCTAAGGGTTGAAGTTCATAATGTGGACATGACCCAAAGTTGGCTGAATACTCAGAATGTTCGAAGTTGCTTCAGCTGCCCTTGGATTCGACTATGTATGCAGAAAGGAATCAGAAGTGTTTTGCTTTTACAGTCGATGACTTACATGATAATCTTTGTAGTATTACTTTGAGATCCATGCAAGAGTTCACAACCTGCTTATAGATATTTCCTAAGTATTTTTTTAAATTTGAAACATAGTAAAATCTTTAAATTGATCATATGATAGCCATTACTATTTCATTTTATTTAACCGAATCTTAAAATTATATACTACAAATAATCCTTGTATAGATTTTATGGCTGAACCTTGATACAAAAAGGAAAAAGGTAAAGACAGTCTGAGTAAATTAAAGTTAATAGGTGCCTCCCCCCCAAAGTTTATTGTTTCTCAGAGAAAACGCACGAGTATCTGACTTGTAGGTTATCTTTTCTATACACACCAAAAGGAATAAATGCTAAGTTTTAGCCTAAGATTCCTGTTTCTCGCATTGCACTGCATATACAAATTGATTTATTTATACATTATTCACTAGCAGCTGCAGCAACAGTTCAAACGTACAAGCTTTTCTTGAATAATGAAAAATTCTATTCCAAGTTTAAAATCAGCTGGTGCCATTCTTCCAGGAGTAAAACAGTGTATTTTGTTTCATGATTGGTTGAAGCAAGGTATCTTTTTAGAAATCCATTAACAAAATACCATATTAGGATGGTCTGAAATGATGAGGAATGAGTACTGATAATTGCTGGAGCTTCTATCCAATTTTTGAAAACTAGGCCTAAGCTGTTTTGTCTTAGCTGGGGGGTTGCTCTTACTTCAATAAATTGATGAGCTTCATTTTAGGAGAAATACTGACACATGTAAAAGCATACCTGCAGACAATGTAGAACTACCTTAGTTTTCAGATTCAAATTTTTCATTGAAGAAATGCAAATAGTATAAATAATTACTTACTTAAGTCTCTGAATAAACACTTGCTTTTGCCACTCATCTGATAAAATTTTCAGATTGAGATACACACAAAGAAATATATGTTTTAGAAAAATCAAATAGAACAGCGAAAGAATAGAAGATACACGACAAAGATTCTTGAAAAATCTAACGAGATTACCAATTTCCCAGCCACTAAGGTGCCAAAATTAAACATCAACCATGCATCCAAATGTCAACACAGTATGGATTTCAAAAGTCAAAGCCTAAAACTGGTTCCTTACAGACGCAGTATAAGATGCTTCTATCATAATCCTGCCTTATATACTTTTACAGTTATTTACGTGCTCATTTTGTTGAGCAGAATTAATGTCATTTACTTGCTCATGTTTCATGTGTGGTTTACATTGTCAAATCATTATTAAAAGTGTCAGACTGTGACAATTCTGCTTATGACCTGGTGTTTATTTTGCATCAGACTGAATTCAAATATTTAAATTAACAGCTTTACTATAGTTCAGTTCAATTTGGCTGAAAAGCCAAAAATTCAATTGCATTAAGAAACAAAGACTTCAAGCATTCCAACACAGACAGAAGGAAAAAAAGAAATCAGATCTGCATAACAGTCTGAATTTGAAAACATCTATATTTCAGGGTGATTTGAATCCAGAATTCTGCTTTGTGCTCCAGAGTTTAGATGCACAATTTCACTTTTGATAGGCCTACACAGGTATACTTCTATATATTAACATATATGGAGATGTAATAAAACATGTATTTCATTGCCAGGCTAACATATCCACAAATGAGAGTATTTAACAATTTGCTTCTGGTAAGATTCTTTCTGTTTACTAAGGCTTCTTTATGGCACTAGACTCCTCCAAATTCACTTAACTAAGATCATCCAAATCATCACCTCAACTGTGTGAATTAATGGCTAAAGCACTCCAAAGCTTTTAGTCATTCACCTGTTTGCAGGGTAACTCTAACCAAATCAGCTCACATCCTTACTTCACAAAATGAAAAATACTTCCATTCTTTTTAAGTTGCTTTGGAAGATAGAATGAAAAGCACTGTATCAAAACTAGGTATTATTACTGACACAGTCCTATTCAGACTTCAATTTCAGCCGGAGTTTGTCTCAGTAAATCCCTAAAGACAAAACCAATGCAATGTAAAATTACTATGGGCTGTATCATATTATTAACATTTGAACAAAACCTCTGCTTAAATCAGAAAGGAGTTCTATTTGGCACAGACATACAATATCCCCAAATCAACATAGCATTTCCTTATGTAAAACTAAGTGAAACACAGAAGATTTATAAATTAAAATAACACAATGTTTCAATCTGTGTAAGTAATTTACAGAAAACCCAATAAATTATGAAGTATTTTGGTAATTTCTTTTAAATACAGCCAAACCTTATTTAAGATGTTTATCTTCTGATGTTTTGCATCAAAAAGAGAAAGTAGAATCTGAAGTACATTCTCCACAACCCTCTACATGAAATTAAAAATAACATTAATAGTAATTTGAAAACAAATAATATACCCTGAAGGAAGTGGAAAATCCATATATGCCGTTATTAAACAAAACCAGAATTTTAGCAGGTACCAGTACGGCTATGTCTTCTTTATTTTCAACTGATTTTGGAAAGTTAACAATGAAATTCTGACTAATATGCATAAAGCTTTCTGTTCTCCAGCTCAACCCTAATCCTGTTACTACCTTAGTTTCATAGTTATTGATTTGAGCTATTTCCTTACTACCACCATCGTATCTCTAATATCTCTAAGCAACTGATTTTAATAATCCAGCCTTAAGAATGTACAAGGAACTGACCTGGAAAGGTTGGGCACAAATTAATTAGTAGAAAGTACACTGCTTTTTTTCATACACTAACATGCACACTCACCACCCACGAACATAACATGACCCTTTAGGGGAGCTTTTTCTTCGCTGGTGGACACAGGATGAAGCTAACATATCTTTTGCCAACATTAAATTTGTGTAATTTACTGAAACTAAGAGAAAGAAGCATAATCCGAAAATTAATCAATGACCTCAAAGCCATTCTCCAAATGTGTGGATTTAGTAACTGCTGATTTGTAAAGCAAATAACAGAAAATGTTCTAAGAATCCAGGAAACACAAACTGAAGCGAAGGCCTTTCGCAAGATCAAGACAAGACAAAAAACAACCAGTATCGGTGTATCTTAGGGCTCCATGACTTCAGTTTGGAATTTGGGTGCTTCTATTTGCAGTAAATTAAACAAAGCTGATCCCATCTAGAGAAAAAAAACAGCAAATCAAATTATCTTCCTTTCGCCTAAGTGTTATCAATTATGAAGCCTGTCTCTGTGTGTCATGCAGAGTTATGTATAGGTATTTCAAATTATGTAACATCTAAGCATCCTGTATCATAATCTTCAGAAATAGTAACAATTCAGCACAATGAAAACTCAGTAATATGAGCAAAGATCATATTGCTGTGCTGTTCTTAATGGTTTCAACACTAATGAAAGCCTCCAATGAATGTTAGCAATTTGGCCTATAATATGAAAAAAAATTAAATGGGAAATATTAAACTGTGATAATTTGGAAATTTCAATATTTGTTCATAAAATGTTAAAATGTTAATTAGGATTTTAACTTACTTCAGCCTGCTTAATCTGTAATGTGCTGCACCTCTTGATAAATATTTGCTAAAATAGAGGATATACAGAACTTGAATTGTAACTTACAATTCAGACCTGAAGAACATCAATCTAGGGTATTTTCAGCCTCACTGCTGAAATACTGCTGCAACACAGTTAAAACTAGAAGACTGTAATTTTGGGTGAACTTCAGAAGGTTCAAATAAGTTCAAATAAGCACCCAAAAGTTACCATTTTAGTGCTCCGCTACCAAATGCTCATTAAGTGGTGCAGCATGTTATGAATCAAAACATGCTGAAAGAATGTGGAATAGAATCCAAAGCTTAAGTTGTACATTTGTATTATGTTACCAGCATTCTTTCCTAAACATTGGGTGCTTATGTGAACATTATGGAAACTACAGACGTCCCAGAAGGTCAATCACCTCTAAGTAGCATCTTCCCTTTCAAACCCACAAGACCTACCCCATCTTTATTCAATCCACATTCTAGTATCTGGAATCTCATTATTGCTTCTACTAACATCTAATGCACTTCTGCTTTGATCACTAGCTTCTTCCCCTTTTCACTTTTTAAACAGCTTTTGTAAGATCCAGGCACATGTGTGTTAAGGCTGTGTCTCTTGTGAAA